ATTTTTTTCTTTGTAACTATGGAAATCTCTTTTAACATCGTCCTTAGATTTAAACAAATTAAACTTAAGTTTGGAAATATTTTCTATAAAAAACTGTTTTGAATTAGAACCTAAAATGTGCTTTCGAGAAGTGAAATCATTACAGTCGACTAAAAGCTTTAAGTATTATAGCAAAGTGCAAGTAATAAGGAAAACATCTTTTGTAATTTCATAAGTTTGACATTATTTGTTATCATGTTCATTTAGAGTTCCACTATATTTTCACAGATTTAGCCACCAGAACTGGGTTTTGCGTACAAAGTATTTCCTAAACTTTTCTACACTATATTGCAATTTGACTAGTCTACGTAAGCTTGTTCTTAACCCGAAACTTTTGTGGTTGCTCTTAAGCTAATTACATATTTATTTGGCATAATTCGAGCAACAATCTGAGGTCTGCTTTATCCAAATAGTTGTTATCATGTTTGTGCACAGTTCAACTATATTTTCACAGATTTAGCCACATTTTCACAGATTTTGCGTACGAACTATTTCCTAAACTTTTCTACACTATTGCAATTCGACTCGTCTACGTTGAGGTTTTCTTAAACCGAAACTTTTGCGGTTGCTCTAAGATCTCTAAGTTTTATAAATCTTTCTCATGAAGTTTCGGGCACAAGTAGCCAATAATAACTGTAAAATAGTAAAAATAATATTGAGTCTCATAAGTACGTAAGATTTTAATCAAAGCGAATTCACTTAATTATTTTCATGTTTTGAGCTATACTTTTAGGAAACTTTTTAAATTCTTTCTAATTTAACAATTTGTAGAAACTATTAAAAATTGTAGTATTTCATTGATACATTAAAGTATTCAATTATTAATTAGTACTTCTTTAAAGAAACAGAAATATACCACCCAGGCAGAAGTACGAGCAATAACGGAATGCGTAAATTGGATTAGAATAAATAATAAATGCCCACAGCGCTTAATATATTTACCGATAGCCAGAAGGCAATTAGGGCGATATCAGGCGATAGAACTAAATCTAAGACCGTATTGGATTGTAAGAAAGCTTTAACTGAATACTCTCCCAGAGGTAAGGTTCACATCATATGGGTACCAGCCCACTCGGGAGTAGTCGGTAACGAAAGGGCGAATGTAATAGCTTTAAAGGGTAGGGAGCTCGAGGCAGTTAACCTGACAAACGCGAAACCATTCGACGCAACAAAAGCTGAACTAAAAATATGGGGTGATTCTGATGAGAGCAAGACGAAAAATCTCCTCAAAATGAGCAAGTCTGAAGTTAGTATGAGGATTACGAGCACATCTATGCAAAATTGGACGTGCGGATTCAGACGAATGTAGAGCATGTGGAAAGGACAGTGAAACTCTGGAGCACTTTCTTTGCCACTGCCGAAGTTAGATCCAAGTATCTTGGAAGTGATGTTATTCCGGAAATAACATTCCTGACTAACACTGATTGGAAGATTAAAATTTCAAATTCTTTATTGGTTATATAGTTACTCCAAAATAACATAAGCATTGAGAAAGTATGTTCTGAAGCTTTTCTTTTGAACAACTTTTTGATCTATTTTTAAATCTCCTTTACTTTAACATATCTGAACAAAACTAGTAACCTTCAAAATAACTTAAGTCTGAATCATCTATATTCTAAAAATATTTTCTTCTTTAATCTATTTTGAACCCGTCTTTAGATTTACAAATTGACATAACTTATAAACTTTGATATCTCTTATGTGTTTAAAAACTTCAAAATACATACTGAGAAGCTTGTGTTCAAAAGAAATCATTGATCTTTTTTAACTTGCCTTTATGCTGACATATCAGGAGTTCCTATACTCTAATATTAGGTCTGTTCTGAAGCCAATACTGAGAAGATTTTCTTAATTGTTCCATTCTGAATTCATCCTTTGGTAGTTATGGATGCTTGGCCGACAAAAAAGTTGCCATTCTCAATATCCATATGATTGTTGCCAAATTATTTTAAGTCTAACGTTGTCTGCTCATGAGCTGGAACGTTTTCAAGGAAATATCCTAAAGGGACTTTATTTTACATGTTTAATGATTTGTTTTGTTTTATGACGATAGATAAATATGGCTCTAGAGGCCGTTCGTCAGCTGGTCCGTTCCAAAAAAAGGCCTTTTTAAGTTTTTTTTTTAATTTTAGTATTATTTTTAAAAGAAAACATATCGGGTGTCATCTGGAACGACATATAGAGCTGCGTCCCACGATGTGACATTATTATAAAATTGCGCTCTAAATATGTTTACCTTCACAAAAACTTTTAAAAATATAAGTTCTTTTGAATATGACAATTATAAGAACACGAATATTTATGCTTAATAGATCGGTTAGACTCGAATTGAAAAAGCTTTTGAAACGATATCCCATGAAATCAGTCCAGCTCTCTCTTATGAGCTTTATTGCTGTCTTGCATTCACACGTGTTTAAGAAGATAACTAGGTAAATGGCTCATATTATTTTACTCTCTTGAGGCTCACACATTTGTATATAAAAAAGAAACAAAACTAGTCAGAGGTATGTTCATATACGCATTTAGAGCAGAAATAGTCAAAGGACTTTCTTAGTAGTTTTATTACTCCCTTATTTTCACACGTGCTTAAGAGTAGAAAAAGGCAATGGATTCATTTCTGAGCGATCGCAGCTCATACATGTATAAAAAACAAACAAACATAACTAATCAGAAGTACTCATTTGTCAACTCTATCTAGGTAAGATTTAGAACAACTGTGAAAATGTAAATAGTTTGTAAGTTTTACATATTTAATTATTACAGAAACTTAATTTCTTTCCATGTATCTCATGCTCTCAAAAAAATCTTTGAAAAACTTGTCCACTTATCTTCTAAGCACATGTTAGATCACTACATAATTTATAAGACGGAAGCTATCTAATATGGAAAATTTTAAATTAAAAGCCAAAATATAGGAAATATTTAACTAAAAAAAATAAATAAAGAAAATTATTAACATATAAACAATAATCCCTAATTAGTATTTTTTAAGTCTAAAAAGAAAATCCGAGGATATCTTTTATTAATAGGTTTCCTGCTTTTCTTTTTTATTTTCTTTGCTATAATTTTGGTCTCTAAAAATTGTATTGGAATGAATGCTGGTAGTTGGTTGGTAGTTTTCATTAGTTCGCTAAAAATGTATGCATTTTTGGACGGATATTAAATATATAATATTTATTTATTTTGTTTTTTGTTTTTTATTGAGTTTTTTTATGAATAAACTAAATTTTCTTATGAATTGTAAATTCTTTGTTTTAACAATACTTTTAATAATAGAAAAAGTAATATAACTACAAATAATTGCTTATGTTTTTTTATATTTTTATAATTTCTTTAATTTGTAACTAATTTTTAATAAAAAAATTCTGTACAATTTTTTGTTTGTTTTTTTTTTTCATAATAATATTAATGAGATTATTGTTTAATTTAAAAGGGGGAGTATTTTTTGTTTTTTTACTTAAATTTTCTTTTTGATGTTTGTATACTTTTTAACTATTGATAGAGTAGTAATGTTTCTAATGAGTTTTATGAATTCGTTTTTCTCGGATTTGGTTTTAAAAAAGGTATTTTTTTAATACTATTTTTTATGGTTAAATTTTTGTTTTGTTTTTTTTTTCTCGAGTGTATGTTTTGTGTGTTTTGTAGATGGTGTAATTTTGTTTAATATGATATTGATTTTTGTTTTAATTTTATTAAAAAAAAATTACTTGTTATTATAACTTTTTTTCTTTTTTTATATTTTTTTAATGGTTATTAGATGATGCGCGCTATTTTGTTTGTTTTTGGTTTTCTTAGGTTTGAATATGTTTTCTTTTGTTTTAATTATAAAATTTAAATTTAAAGGATGTTGTTTAAATGGTTGGTTGTTGATATATTCTCGTTTATCTTAAAGGGTGTTGTTGTTTGTTTTAGACGAGGGCGTTTAATTTTGATGTTCATTAGTTAAAACATGATAACTGAGTGTTCTTTATTTAGTTGGCGGCCTGATTATTATATGAATTGTGTTTTTTTAAAGATTTTTTTGAGAGATTTTTTTAAGTAGTTTTATATAAAAAAGGATTTTGTTTGTCTAAATTTAGTTAAATAAATGAACACTTTGTTGTTGTTGTTTTTTTTCATTTGTTATTACTTATTGTGTTGTCATTTTTGTGGATTTTTGGGGGCTTTTGCGTTTTTGGCCAATACAAAAATGCAATTATACACCGGTTGTTGTCTCCAAATTTTTTTTTGATTTTTTTAAGATTTTTTTTCCATTTAAGCTTAAGGTTCTATCATGATTATAAAGTGTTAAACTACACAAAGCAGCAAGAGCCAGTGTTCTTAAAAAATGCTTGAATGATTTCATATGATGAATTAATCCAATTATACTTTTATTTTTTCTAAACCTGCTTTACGACTTTGTTACTCTTGGAGGTCTAAACTTTTGAAACTATTAGTCATGATGTTATGATGATGATGTTTAAAATTTTCTTCTGATTGATCTTATAACTATTTGTTTGTTGGTTGTTTTGTGTTATATTATTTTACAAATTGTCTTAAAACAAAAAATTCAAGACAATTGTTTATTATCAATCCTTAGCTTAAAGACTTAAAAAAACAAAAAAACTTCTTTCCTCTCTTCCTGTTTTGTGGGCTAAAGGTGTTGTTCGACTTCTGTGGGGGTTTGATGATTGATGGTAATGTTTGTTTGGTTTTGTTGGTCGGTGATGATGACGAGATGATATTCTTTGTAATTGTGCGTCTGCAATAATTTTAGTTGTAGTCCTGTAGTTATTGTTTTGTATTCCTGTTAAACCATTTTTATCAAGGACTTTGTTTTCCATATTGTTTTGATGATCGAGTTTTGTTTTTATTGGTTGTTGGTGATGTTGGTGTTTATATAAATTGCTAATAAAAAGCAAACTTGGCAGCATTTTGTTTTTTTTTTCTTAATCTTTTTATTTTTTTGTATTTTTTATGTATTTTTTGGATTTTTTTGTTTGTTTTTTTTGGTAGTTTCATTGAAGTTTTACTGTTTTTTTAGATGGAGACAACGTTTTGCATTTTGTATGGTTTCTAATACTCCCAATATCATGCATCTTGTATTTCGCCCTTTAGTCCAGGCACCCTGTGGTGTTGGTTATGTCCTAAACGATTGGCTAAGTCCTGTACAACATCTCGAAATATAACCGTATCTATGTTTTCGCCTAATAAATACAATAAAAACCAATCGCCCATCTTTGAACGACGAACAATTATTTCTATAGCGTCTCGACGCACTAACCTGTAATTAGAAATTCGTAATTAGAATCAAAAAATAAAAAAAATTGGTTTCGCGAATCAAAAATCAGGCTTGGGAGGTAATAATTATATTCAGTAATCATTACATGTCACAATTATTAATTTTACGTAATTGTAATTTCTAATAATTACAAACACCAATTACAATACTAATTCGTTTAAAAATGATTAAAAAGTAGTAATAATTACTTTTAATTTCAATTAAATTACCTTTTTACTAGTTACAGTTAAACTTATTCATTTAAAAATAATTAAAAATGTATAATAATTACTTTTAATTCCAATTAAATTGCTTTTTACTAGTTACAATTAAAGGAAGTGTAATTGAGAAATATTAATTACAAATTGTTGTAATGGGTAGTAGTTTTAAGTAATTTTTATTCTAAATACTTCAATTACAAAACAAGTAATTGTAATTGGAACCAAATCAATTACAATTACTTTTTAGTAATTACTTTTACTTTTTAGTAAAGTAATTGAAAATGTAATTTATATCCCCCAGACTGAAGAAAAATACAGATTCTTAACTTACCTAAATCGCATACGAAATAAGTACACCCTCATACGTGGTGAAAATATAATAACCACCCTGTATATCAGTGTTAATAATGTTAATAGTGTTAATAATATGAACCAAAACCAAAGGAAAATATAGATTTTTTCATTAACAACATTTAATGGCAATATGCATATGGCATCATGTTTTTCCACCTTTACAAAGAAAAAGAAAAAATAAAAAAAGAAACAAAAAATAGATTAAAATCAATTACAACCAAATTAATTACTCCAAACTTACCTCCCCACTAGAACCATATTTAAAAAATGTACATTTGGTCATTCTAGGGAATATATAAATCATGGGGTCCATGCGATCCTCTTGATCGTCTTCCATATACTTTATCACTTCTAAGCCAAATGTCATAAATTCGCCATCGAAAAATCGATTCATAAGAAACATTTGACCTTAAATTCAAATTAGAAAATAAACAAAAAAATAATCATAAATTTTGTTGAATTTATTTAACAATTTTGTTTAGATAAATTTCGTCTTTTACGTCTATAGCGAGTGCTGTCCTCTTGACCTTTCTATTGTTATTAAACAAATTAAGTTTTTTTTTTCTTCTTTCTATTCATTTTTCAAAAACCCACATGATCTTTAAAATATTAACACATGTTCATCAATAATTATATTAATTGCCCATAAAATATTTGTAAGATCATATGAAACAAGACAGAAGAAAAAAACACAATAGAAATTATCAGTAGATCATTAGAATCCCACAGTTTTTCACATAATTTACAATAAATAAACAATTAGAAAAATTGAAAATGATGATGTGCGAAAATGTATTAACACACACAATCACACAGCCCAAATTCATCAATTCAATTTTCCAAATTAATTTACTTTAAAAATTTATTTATTTTATTTCCAATATAATTTTAAAGGAAATATTTTAACCCATTAGTTTGTTGATGTAGTCAATTTTTTGTCCAATTTAATAAAATCATATTCAGTTTAAAGTCCAGTTTGGTTTCCAAATTTTAATTATTTTCGATTGTTATTTAAATAAAAAAAAATTTATTTAAAATACAATTATATTGCATATTTTCTTATCTGTGCATATTTCATTTGCATATTGGTGTAGTGTCCTTATGAAGCGATAAATCAATTAAAAAAATGGCAAATTTAATGCATTTTTATGATGTTGTTGTTCTTGTTGTGCTAATATATAATACTTGAGAATTTTCTCAAGTTTTAAGAGGAGAGAGTGCAAAGAAATTATTAAATATATTGAGAAATTAATTAAAAAAAAAGTTTCTATATTTAAAAAAAAAATGTGCATTAAGTTGTAAAATATAAGAAAATTAATTTGCAAAATTGCAAAAAATATTATAGACTTAACTTAAGTTGTTATTAATATTATAAATAGTTGTAATTCGTTAATGATACTCTCTTTTTAAAATACTTTTTGCACCAAATAGAAAATTTTTTTCAATTATAATTTGGAATCATTATATTTTTACTTTGAGTCAATTGTTTTTAATCTATTAGTTAGTTTCCTTAATGTTCTCAAATTTCTAATTTTGTTCCAATATTTGATTTTACCTTTAATTGCATTTAATTATAAAATTTAAATTAATTAAAAAAAAAAATATTAATATAAATTTGGTACTAAAGCCTTGTTAAGTTTTCGATTTTTGTATCAGAATTTATGATTTGTCTTTCAATTTTAATTAATTTTCAATTTTGTACTAATTTTTCAACTAGAGACTAAATTTTTGTACTAAATTTTTATATCCACCATCAAAAAAGATGGGGGTATATTGTTTTTGTCATTCCGTTTGTAACACATCGAAATATTGATTATAGACTCACAAAAGTATATATATTCTGGGTCCTTATTAAATTCTAAGATCTAGCCATGTCCGTCCGTCTGTTTCTCTGTCCGTCAGTCTATTGAAAGCACGATAGAGTCTGAACGAGATGAGCAAAAGAGCTGAAATTTTGCATAAATATTTTTTATTGATGCAGTTTGTTTGGTATTGAAAATGGGCCAAATCGGTCCATGTTTTCGCATAGCCTCCATAGAAGTGGCCCCTGGAACAACAGTGTAAACAGTCATAACTGGATTAAAAACATCAGTATACCAATGAAACTCCACATAAACAACTCTCCCAAATTTTATGAGGATAGGTCCACAATTGACCCTACCCCCCATAACGACTATAACGCTCATAACTAGCTCCAAAATGATAGCAAAGCAACGAAATTCGACATAAACAAGTTTTTGGGGGAACTAAAACCTATCTGCCAAATTTTATGAAGATCGGCACATAATTGACCCTAATCCCCATATAAGGTTCCTCTCAGAAAATTACTTTAAAGTTCATAAGTTGCTTCGAAATACCAGTAAATCAACGGAACGGAATCCTAGATTCGTTCATAATCGGTTCATAATAGACACTATCCCCGATTTTATGATGATCGGTCAATAATTGACCCTACTCCCTATATAAGGTCCCCTTCGAAAATACTATAACACTTATAACTTGCTTCAAAATGATAGTAAACTAAAATATCTCAGCCAAATTTTATGAAGATCGGACAATAATTGAACCTACCCCCAAATAAGGTTCCTATCCGAAAATTACGAAAGTCACTTGACATGAAATTCCCCATATATAAGTTTTTTGTAAAATATAGGTGAAATTTAGGAAAAAATTCAATAAATTTATTTTCAATTTATTGTTGTATCAAGCTGTGTTGATATCTCGAAGAACAAGGAAGATATGTCAGATTTTAAGACTTTATTTTAAAGCTGACAGAATGTACTTTCAGATGGCATACAACATTTTATAAATAAAATTTGTCTTGGTGCTGTTATAACTTCTCAAAAAAGGTCTAAAATAGCATTTTCGTGATGGAGAAATTCCAGATTTAAAGTCAGCGCAGCTCATTACTTTAGAGTAGTATACTTTGGTCTCTGCGCTAAAAATTTGTCTGCCTGTGTTCTCTATTGTAAGAAAATTTTAAATTTAAAATAAACTTTTTTTCCAGGAACATTTCTCTATTATAGTCGCTAACTTCTTAGAACTAATTAAATTTTTTCTATGAACATGTCTTTATTATAGTCGCTAATGGCTTTCTTTTTTTTTTTTTTTCTTTTCAGGCTCGCCTCTAATTAATGTAAGTTTCTTATATTTTTTTACAAGAATTAACTTTTGAGGAAAATTTTAAAACAATACTCTCAATTCAGTCAGACAGACGTTGGACCGATATTGTTCTAAATATTTTTTTGGTTGGATCGCTTTTTTTAATAGCTTCCAACGCACTAACAGACGGAAATAGCAAGATCATCTTACAACTTATTAAGGACTTAGAAGTTACAAATAAGATTTCCTAAATCCACAACCACTCTATACCGATGTATTATAAACACAATGATAAACTTAATATACCCACTTTATATGATAAAGGGTGCCCAAAAAGCGTGCTGCATACAAAAATACTTTGAACTAAAGCAAAACCTCCAAATTAATTTACGGACAAAAATTACACAAAAAAAAGTTTAAAATATCCATAAATACTCTACGGTTAAATATGTTTATTTACACATTGGCTTATTTCGTATACAGTTCAGTGGTCAGTTTATGAAAATTTTACATTAAATTTCATTGGTGATTTGTTTATTTTCTTAATCAAACAAATAACAAAAAAAAAAAATTAAAATTGTTTCGTTATTATATTGATATTGTTTTTGTATTTTAAATAACAAAAGTCTACAAAAATGCCTCTTTAGATCGTAACAAAAAAAACATGCATAAACAAATCCAGACATGCAAAACCAAACGATCAGTGTATAACACAGGAGTTCATATACAAATACGAATACAAATTTTACGCGTACATAAATTACTTTTAAACAGTATTGTATTTATTTATTTGAAAAACATTTGTCAATTTATTTGCTATATTTTCCTCATTATGTCAATAATGTCTAACTGACTGTTTGTATGTCTGTCTGTCTGTCCAGTCGTCCATCCGTCCGTTCTTCCCTCTATTTTATTTCATTGTCTGTTACTAGTAGTGTTTTTGTTTTATTTTCGCTACAATTTTGTTTTAATTTTATTCAGAATGATAAATATCTAAATAATTACTTTTCTTACGTATTTGAAAGTTCTCAAGAATTTCGTATAATTTTTTCGGTGAAAAAACTTATTACTCACCTATCACATTTACGAGTGCTAATAACTCGCACACATAGTATCTGTACGCCCACCAGTTGTGATATCTAGGAATGAAAAAAAAAAAATAAAAGAAATATGATGTGGATGAAATTTAAATTCACATTAAACGGAAATGACATTTTAAAGAGTTCTCCTCAAAATGTTGATGAGTTGGCCGGTGAGGTGATAGATAGATACCCACCTTAGGTTTTCCCATAAATAATCTAAAAGTAATTTCTTTTTTTGTTTTTTCTCGGCTTCGGAACAGATTCCTATATCTAAGTCCATGATAAGTGCATGAATTTTGCCACCTTCCCAAGACTTCCACAGCCATCTTGGTGTATAAAATAAAATTGCCTGTAAAGAAAAGAAAATATAAAAGGGTGTTGAAAATTGAAGTTGAAATAAATTAATATATTCAAAAAGTTTCGAAAATGAAATTTATTAGTATATTTAATTCAGATACTTGTTATAAAAGAAGTCAAAATGTTAATTCGTCAAAATGTTAATTCGAGGAGGTCCAAACCAACGAGATACCTGTTGTTAAAGATCGATTGAAGTAAATGAGCAGTTTACAATTTTGTACTAAAATTTTAATTTTGTATTAAATTTTTAATTTTGTACTAAATTTTAAATTTTGTACTAAATTTTTAATTTTGTACTAAATTTTTAATTTTATACTAAATTTTCAATTTTATACAAAATTTTATATTTTGTGCCAAAATTTAATGATTTGTGTACGTTTGTGCTGATGTTTGTGTGATGGACCAAAAATATTGGTCCTACCCCCACCTTTAAGTATACCGGTCGGCTCAGAATCACTTTCTTTGTCCATTTATCTGTGTCCGTCTGCGTGTCCATGGAAGCCTTGTGCGCACGCCATAGGTCTCAAAGATAATTTGATAAAATTACACGTACTTTTCTTTTGACCCAAGGTCGAAGCCTATTGAAAAAGGTTAAAATCAGTCCATTATTTCATCTAGACCCCATACAACCATAACCCCCGAATAGGGCTTTTGAGTTCTTAATTATGTTAAATATTGTTGTATCTCTACAAGATAATGCTGATTATCGTAATGATGGGGCTTCATTTGAACCCAGCCTCCATACATAGTCCCCTTTGCAAAATGACTTAAAGGTCAAAATTTATAAGGATGGACCTATATTACCTTTGCCCCTATCTGGTCCACAAATTGTTAAAATATTTCTGAACTGAGATAAAAAGCTAATTTTTTTTTTTTATAAAAAAAAAAAATAACTCACATTCTCAATGGTGTACGGTATCATATGGTCGGCCATGCCCGACTATACATTCATAATAGTTTTGCTTTAAATTTTCAATTTTGAATCAAAAAAGGTCTTTCTATAAGGACTTAGATCAACTTTGGATTTTACTACGCAGAGTTTGAGAGGGTGATCAATTTATTAGTTAGTTAGTTTGAAAGGAGGATGTAAATATATACATCAAATCCGAAGAAATACACCTAGGCCTCTATCGGGCCTGTTGTGCGCTCAGGAGGGAATCGAACCCACCACCTCCGGTCTACCAGACTAGAACACTAACCCACCGGAGGCAATTTATTAAGAATAAAGGTTTATATAGATGAAATAGGCCAAAGTCCAAAATTAATATTAAATCCAAGACTCCTACAAATCAAATACTACCAACTAGCCTTTCCTGTGATATACTATCCATTTCCGAACATGTTACACAGGGAAACTTTGGTTCTACAATCAATCTGTTAAAGTATTTTTATACCCTACACCACTATAGTGGGGAGGGTATATTGGGTTTGTGCTGATGTTTGTAACATACAAAAATATACCAATCAGCTTAGAATCTTTTTCTGATTCGATTAAGCTATGTCCGTCCGTCCGTCTGGCTGGCTGGCTGTCCATCTAAACCTTGTGCGCAAGGTACAGGTCGCAATTTTCAAGATAATTGGATGAAATTTGGCACACACTCTTTTTTCGGACCATACTAAGTCCCCTTCAGAAAATTACTTGAATGTCCAAAATTCACTTATAAACACAAATATCGCGATAAAATTCAGCACAATAAAATATTATGTAAATATAAATATATTTACAAAATTTTATCGGGCTTGGTCCATATTTACCCCTAGCCCCCCTATAAAGCCTCTTTCAGAAAATTAGTTTTTCATCCATAAATTGCTTAAATGTATCGGAACAAGGTAATAGAAGATAAATGCTTTATTAAGAAAAATAAATCACATTTAATATTCATAACTGGTGTAGGGTATCATATGTTCGGTCACGCCCGACTATACTTTCTTACTTGTTTTATATATGTTGGATTAAGCACCCTAGAATCACAACTAGCCTATTCAAGCAACTTTCCCAGTCAAATATAGCAACGACTTAACTCTTCCATCAATCTATTTTTCTAATTTTGAAGAAATATAAAAACTGACTATAAATTAACAAAAAATTATTAAGTTAAAGGCAGTGATTTATGCCTTAGATTTTACCTCCAATGATATAGTTTTGATTAAATCCCTTAGGAGTCATAAACCCTGAAAACGTCTGTCATTAAACTTTTGATATTGATAATAAAAACTTAAACATTATTTACATAATAAGAGAGCAAATAAGTTAAGGGGAATAAATACGGAAATTCTCTTTCATACAAGGTCTAAGAGAAACTACTTTAGTTAAGTGATAAAATACTACCCTGAAGGTGATAAATTTTTTCTACTCTTCTAGTTCACATAAGTGACAAATTAATAATAAGTTGTGTCATAAATTTAAGATCAACTCACTAAAAACTGAATCGAAAAAATAAACATTTTTAGTATCGTTTTTTTTACTATTGAAATAAATTTTAAGGATTAGTTGAAAAACAAAATTTGCTTTTTCTTAATTTGAAGAAAAACATAAGATCATAAATTTAAATGATTTTATTTCTCCCTAAATTTATTAAATACATATAATAATATTTTTAATTTTATTACTATTATTCTATATAATATTTGAAAAATAAAAATTTATTTTTTTTCTGAGTTATTAAAAAAGCATACTATAAAATTATTTTATTTATTACCGGGCATGAGAATCGGGGTATTTAAAAATTAAATTTTATTTTTTAATTGGTCAATGTTTGTTTTCATCGTTTTTGTCTTAAATGCCCTCATACGCAAGTATGAATAATATCCTCGTTTTTAATATTTTATCTAATGCGGTTAATACTTTTGGCATTGGCTACTAATTAAGTAGAAAATAAAGAACATCAATTTTGCTTAATACTTTTTTTAAATATATCTCTAGGGTTAAGAGTTCATCTGATTTATGACAGCAATATGTTCATATTTTTAAAAGTAATGATTCTTGTTTTCGTGCTGCTTGTTTATTTCGAAAAAATGAAATGATGTTCTGTGTTTTTTTCTGAAATAAAATTTTAGTTGACGTATAACATGCAGATTTAGGAAAATATGAAATATTATTTTGTTTGCTGTAACATTGTCAGTTTGTTTTGGACGCTGGAGATTTGAAATTTGTTTATTTTTTATTTTAAAAATGACTCAGAATAGAATTAAATATTATGTAGAAATGGAAAAGCTAAATACTAAAATCTAGATTTCTTTTATTAGTATGAAACCACTATTAGAATTAATTTAGTTTTTACTAGAGAAAAATATTAAATTGTATGCGTTAGAAAGAGGAGATATGTGTAGAATCTGTAACGCACAGAAATATTGATCCTATATACACACCTTAAGGTACTTATTGGTTCAGAAACCGTACATCATGGCTTTGGAGCTTATCATGTATGTTCTAGTCTCTCCCCAGATATCGGCACAACTTATTTTTGTTATAAGCTTAAAGAAACTGTCGATTTTCATTTGATCAGAAGATATTAAACCCTAGTACTCTAATGAGCGGCATCATATGGTCCGGTATGACCGACTATTTATTCTTACTTGATTTAGATAAATAACTGTGGTCTCTACATGTTTGGTTGGTTATCGTGGTAGTTCACTGCGCGCAAACAGTCAAGTAGAGTCGTAGGGTCACCGTTTTGACAGGACCACTCCGCTCGTCAGATATACATAGTAATTTATTTTACTACATCCAGCCTGTATCAGTAAAAAATATCAGGAAGTCATTAAGTTTTGAAGCAGATGTCTCATCAAGGTTGGATATGAAGAAATTGTCAAGGAATTGTGCATAATTATTTCTTGTTTTCGGTGTCCTCCGATTTCAAACTGATAAAATTGTGATACGGCTGGACAGACGAACATACATATAAATATGTTTCACGAAGGTAGAGATCGATCCATGTCGCCATTTTAAAAGGAACTCAATGATCGTTGATATTGTGAACTATATTATAAAAGAACGAACCTCTTTGCCTTTTATAATCGGTAGTCTGAAGTGTTCAAAAGTCATCTTAAGTAATTTTCATAAATTTCATGAAAAAGTTAACATCAAGCTAAATTGAATAAATTTAACCCAAAATATCTCCCATATATTAACCACTTCTGAAAAACTCTAGGAACTAATGCAACAACTATAAGATAAAGAGAAACTTTCATTGATATACATTTTTGGAGGAGTTTCGAAATTATAATATTTTCAAATAAAACCTGGCCCTCTACCAAAAAAATTTTGCACTTCACAGATCTTTTTTCCTTTCCCTTAAAAGGTCGGCCAACAAGCTGAACAAACACTAAGGCAAAATTTTGAATGATGCCTTTGAAAACAATGAAACAACATCAACATATCGTCAGCATTATCATGAAACACAACATCTGTATGCCATTAAAAATGCATCATTCTGCACGCACACGCCAACCGTACAATGATCAATAGATTTGGCGCTGAAATATCGTTCGGAAATTGTGCGTGAATTTAAACAAAATATTTTATTTTCATTACGTCGATCACGTTAGTTTTCTTTTTTTCTAGGAAATTAAAAAAAAATCATTACTTCAATTCAATGTTTGTTTAACATTTCAAACAAACACATTTTACAAATTGCATTTTGCACTTTTGTATTTTGTTTTAAACTGTATTAAAACATACGAGTGAGAATTAGAAAAAAAAAAAATATATTAATTTTTTGGCAATAATTCAAAGTTTTTTTCTTTTAGAATTTGTTATGCTTAAATACATCAGTGCAGTATTTGTGCTTGTTTTTTTGCAGACGCATGCCATCATAATTGTAGTTAACAGAAAAATAAATAAATAAAATACAAATTATAAACTGAAAATGATCACTGCAATAATTAAAAGAGTTTATTTCTCTTAGATTAAAATATGTTTAAGAGTTTTTCTCTTAAATTCGCCAACATATTGTCCATATTGGCTATTAGCCAATTTGAAACTCATTCGTA